AGAACGTGTTGATGTTCCTGGATGGAGGAGAAGATATGGAAGGGTCATACTGAGCAGAACGTGTTGATGTTCCTGGATGGAGGAGAAGATATGGAAGGGTCATACTGAGCAGAACGTGTTGGTGTTCCTGGATGGAGGTGAAGATATGGAAGGGTCATACTGAGCAGAACGTATTGGTGTTCCTGGATGGAGAAGAAGATAAGGAAGGGTCATACTGAGCAGAACGTGTTGATGTTCCTGGATGGAGGTTAAGATATGGAAGGGTCATACTGAGCAGAACGTGTTGGTGTTCCTGGATGGAGGAGAAGATATGGAAGGGTCATACTGAGCAGAACGTGTTGGTGTTCCTGGATGGAGGAGAAGATATGGAAGGGTCATACTGAGCAGAATGTGTTGATGTCAGACTGGAGTGAGTAGTGACCCATATTGGCCTAGCGCTTTTTAGACTGGGTGGGTAGTGACCCATATTGTCCTAGAGAAGACCCAACCTAAGAAAACTTAAATGCAGCCATCAGGCCGGATCGGTAACATCCCGGTTCCTTCCTTGATGTGGATGTCCAGAAGGATGGTCACCACCACCACGTGTGGGCCTCTCAGTCCGGGAGAACCATGAGGCTAGGCCTCGGCTTACAGGAAGTGGGATGAATGACATTGGCCACCACTGAACCAGGAAGAAGGTGGTGCGGGGACTGGATGCAAGGAAGACGAGTCAATATTCTATTCAACATTTCCCTGAATCCCTCAGGATGGAGACACTCTGATCTGGCAGACCTTTCCTGATTGGAGGATCTCCATTTGGAGGGATTGTGGGAAATATTTCAGGTGTCAGTTGGGAGTATTACTCTTACATGTCTGACCACCTCCCACCCGTATACCACGAGTCACGACCAGCCACAAATGCCCGAGTCCATATACAGAGTCACCTCAAAGCGAAGGCAGAACCTCATCGGGCACCTGAAGCTCCGAGAAGCCACCTCAGAAGACGTGATCGGGGACCCAGCGAGGGAATGCTGATGATGGGCGGTCTCACATCTACTGTGTGCTGGTGAAATGTTCTCCTTCCCTCAGATCAGAGGGGGAGGGTAGGTGGGGAACCGGTGGAAGGTGTACATGTCTCACCTACATGTGACCAGGAGCTCCAGGATTGGGGACCGGTATGGAAGAAACAGACTTTGTGATCCCAGAATCCGGGAGGTTTTGTAGAGCTTTGGGTGGGATCAAACCTCCATCCCCAGGCCCACGTCCTCCCTGGTGGACCTCATTCCTTGTGTCAGAGGACAGTCCTTCATATTCTCTTCTGTCTCACTAAAGCCTCAGAGAGGTTCTACTCTGGACGGAGGGGGGTGGGGTGGTTACAGGAGTCGTACCCACAATGCACCTCAACCCAGAGTCGTCGTCCCCACCACCCAGCACGCACATATACAGAGATTACAGGAGGGGGAGGGGTGCCTGTACTCACTGCCCATAGGCCGCTGACCTCTTCTCTACAGAGGAGAATTCTCAGACCCGATGCGTTGTCACATGTAGACAGGAAGTGGCGTCCCATGACCCGTCAGGTACAGACAGGAAGCTCCGGTACAGACAGGAAGCTCCGGGTGAGAGGGGAGTCAGAAGTTCTTCCTCCATAATCACCTCACACAGATCCCGCCACACACATATATATAGAGAGAGATCTGTCATGTGACTACAAACCCCAACCAATCAGAGAGCCCCCCCTCGCACCTACTACACTGCCATTGGCTGCGCCTCCCGCCACAGCAACCAATCACAGAGCGAGGACCCAGTCACCGGGCAAATCTCCACAGATACCTCACAACGGTCTGCGTCCCCCTCCCCCACCGCAGTGCTGTACAGAGGAGCTTACACTCTAATGTCCCCTCCCCCAGTGTTGTACAGAGGAGCTTACACTCTAATGTCCCCCCCCCCCCCCCCCCACACCCGCCCCGTACAC